CGTAGTCGTTCCGCGGGTGCTGGACCGGTCGAAGAAGTCGAGGACGATCTTTTCGTACCTGGCCGGGCTGCAGTTCGGTCTGGGACTGTTCATATCCGGAATGGCTGATCCGGCGAAAGTCCTCCGCTTTTTCGCCGTGCTTACCGATCCGTCTCGGTGGGATCCTTCGCTTGCGCTCATCATTTTGTTCGGAATCGGCCCGTCGCTTGCGACTTACTTATCCTTGAAGCCTGGACAGAAAAAGGGAGAGGAACAGGAGGGAGCGGAGTCCGCTAAACCTACCCTGGCGGATAACTGGAGACTGCCTACATTGACTGTGGCGGATATTGACTGGCGGTTTGTGACTGGAGCGGCAGCATTTGGTGTTGCCTGGGGCTTACGGGGGGTATGTCCGGGCCCTGCAATTCTGCGTACGGTGCTCCAACCGACGTGGGGCCTTGCGGCGATGACAGGATATACGTTAGGCAATCTTTTTTAAAAGTAAGATAGAATGGAAGATATCCCTTCAAGCAGGCCAGCTGCGACTTGATAGATTGAGGTATAGCATATCACCCAAAGCTCCTTAGTTACAGGATGGACTGTTGACATATGTATAACTTGCCGTCCTTAAAAGCTAGGCAGACCAATTGAACGTCAGCGCAGCTCAATTCAATCGCAATCCATGGACAGTACATTGTGTAACATAGATTGTGATACAACAAGGTCATAATGGCCTGGCTTACAATTCAGTTTTCCTCTCCGGATGAGAACGCTTCTTCTTGGGTTGCGCCTCACTGCCGGGCATGAAGCCCTCCAGCTCCATCCACTCGGCTGCAAATGCGCTAAAGAGCATGCTCCAGTCTTCCACCGTGTCCAGATCCAGATGTTCACCGTCGTCATCCATCGAGTGCCAGACCTTGGGAAACCCCGTCATCGGCGAAGAATCGATCACGTGTAGGATTTCCACGCCGCGCGCAAGAAACGGGATATGGTCATCTTGTATGCCCCAGGAGGTGGTCAGCTGATGCTCGTTCTTCGCGCCGTCAGCGAACCACTGCCGTTCGGAAGCGTCCCCTGAGAAAGACTTGAATTGCTTCAGATCGCGGAACCGCTTCTCGAGCGTGACCAGTTTCTTGTAGGCCCAGTGCGTCGTTGCGAAGTAAGACTGGATGTAGGGGTTCTTGCTACCCAGTAGATCGAGCAGCACAAATAGCGAGATGGATGAGAGGGGAGTCTTGTAGACCGACACGGCCGGGTGGACTTGTGAATCCCAGTGTTCGGCGAGAGAGCGCGCCCCATATAGTGAATCGGTCGCCGTCCAGAGATGGAATGCCTCCTCGCCGTCCAGGAAGAGCACCTGTATACCCTTTTGGCCTTCCAGGGTTGCGTCTGTTCGGCCCTGCGCCTGCATAGCCTCCCACTTCTTCGACAGGGCCGCATCGATGCTGCGCATCGCGTGCATGATTATCGCGCATGGGGCCGCGCTATCGATGGCCCCGATAAAACCCTCCGGTGTGATCTTGCTGTCGTAGTGTGCGACGAACGTCACTCTGCCCACGTCGCCCACTGAGGCCCAGGGAGGATCGCGCGACGCGATGAAGTTGACAAATGGAACCTCCTTGCCATGGGAGACGGGCGTTTTCGACGTAGAATTCTGGAACTCGATCTTCCAGTTTGGCAGAGATGTACGGAAGAAATCCACAAAGTGATTGAGCACCGCTGCGGAGCCGGGGGTGCCAGGGACACGGGGCCGCAGGATGGGGGCCAGTAATGCTCCGGTGTGGATATCGAAGTCGGTATTTGGTCGTGGCAAAGCTTTCAAAGTCTCATCTGAAAGCGACTCGTACGCTCCTGCAGGGAGTAGCAGCAATGGCAGGGTGACGCATATCGCAAGTAGCCAGCGAACAAGGCCAGCGTAAGCCGAAAGCATGGCGACTTTTGGATGATGCTAGTAGGCTTTCATGGCAAGTGATCATCGACCTTGGATTGTTTCCGATATACTTGGGACTTACTGACTTCAGGAAGCCCGGATACTCTCACAAATCTGACATTGGGCACCAGAAGACATCTAATCGAGGGAATTGTAGACGGTCGAGACAAAGCAAGGAGGACAATCAATCTGCGCCAAGAAGGCCTGAATAAGTCGGCTGGCGGGTAAATTAGATAACGCCCACTGCGGAGATCAGCCGCGCAGTCATTCCGTCATTCCCTCGAATTCTCCGTTAATCATTGAAATTGTCGGTCGGTCGAGACTGTGTCCTACCATTCTTTATTCGGGGTAAAACGATTGACGACATAAGTCAGTGTATCTTATGATGAGAATCCAATGCTTTCTCCACCCACAATTGCGCGCAGCGCTTCCCCGATCCGTGCAGAGAGATCTCAGTAGCAGATTATTTGCTCGGTTCAAGACGACTCAGAACGCATTCAAAGGAAATGGGTCACCTGCTGTGAAACCGAAAGAGAACAATGGCAGCCTGACTGGCTCCAGTGCTTCTACGAACTCCCCGACGACACACGCGAAGACCACCATCAGACGAGGTAGCGGGATACCCTGGACCATGCTCTGCCGATGTTCTGGACATGATACTAAAAGCAAGCTTATAGGACCTCCAGAACGGATATTGATCTATCATGGGGGGACGGGAAAGGTCATATTCCTGGGCATGTTGCGTATCACGACGATATTTCTCTTTGGAGTCTCTTGCCTTGTCGTGGCTCCAGCCTTTTTCTCTGACGACTACCCATGGTATATAGCACCGGCTGGTAAGTTGTGGGAATCCTCGAGCAGAAAATGTTGTGGCTGACTTCAACAGTGGTCGCCGGTGGCGCGTTACCGATGCTCTTCGTTGCCTACACTTCTGCCCCGTTCGTGAACTTTGTACACCTCGCGCTTCCCGTCTTTGCTCGTCGTTCGCGGGAGCAGACTCTACAGTATGCGAAGAACTTACCTCCAACAGCCACGTTATATGTCAATACTATGAAGTTCACGACAATCCCGCGGCAGACTGAGGTGCGATTGGGAGACCTGGTTCGTGACAAGGCCTTGCTACGGCCAGTGAGCTTCCGAAATCAAAACCCAGCTCCTCTACCTTGGTGGGCAGGTAGGACATTGAGGCAATTCTACACGGCAGAAAAGAGTCAACCAGGGAAAGAGTCCTCCACATTTTATCCTGAACTGTGGGAGCATGTATACAGGCAGATTCCAAACTCACCACGACCGAGGCGAAGTTAGAAGGTTGAAAATTGAAAAGAAAGCAACACATACAAGCAAATTACCTAGCATATTCCCTGTAATTTAGGAGATTTCCTTGTCACACTTCTGAAACCCTCAGAAGACAAATGTCGGTCATTAGAGTGGGACCTGGAGGCTTGATTCTGCTCTCACTTCAACATTATTCACACAACGACACAACCAATTCTCACCCTCGCCTCACATTACTCTTTATCTGGCTTGTGTTGCGTCTGACTCTGTGTTTCTCCTTCATCATACTGTTCTAACTCACTCACAGACCCTCTCACTAGTACTATATCTGCTCCTCCTTCTCCTCCTCTCTCTCGCTTCTCCTCCTACATCTTCCTTTATCATCGCGCGCTTCCTATTTCTCCTCCAGCCTCCATACTTCTTTCTCACACTACAGGACAACTCTCTACTTCCTCGACCGTTTACCTCTCCAACAACAACCATGGCCTCCCCAGCAAAAGCCAAACCCGAGGGCATTTTGGGACTCTCTGCCAGCGAAGCCAAGATCCTCATCCTAGGATTTCTCTGCATCACAGACCAATACAAGGTAGACATCTGCCCCTGAACTACTAGACAACATGAGCCACATAGCTGACAATCACCTAGATCGACTATGAAAAGCTCGCCAGCAAAGGCGGCTACACAGCTGGCTCTGCAAACGTTATGTTCAACAAGGCCAAACGCAAGCTCGTCGAGCTCAACCCCGACAACAGCGCCGAGAATGGCTCTTCCGCTGCCGGCGAAGCCTCGTCCTCGAAGTCCGCGACGGCCACGCCCAAGAAAGGACAAGCTAAGCGTAAGAAGGCTGCCGCAGGTGCGGAGGATGGCGGTGCCGACGGCGAGGAAGCTGCAACGCCTACCAAGTCCAAGCGGCAGAGAAAGACGCCTGCGAAGAAGGGGGCGGCTGCAAAGGCTGCAGATGACAATGTCGAGAATGGGTATGTTACTTGGCTCATCCGCTTCATCTCTTTCGACGTGAAGTTACCTAACTCATCGTATTCTTAACGGAAACAGTGTCCCTGAAGTCAAATCCGAACCTTCCGAGTCCGACGCCATCATCAAAAATGAACCAATGGAGGAAGGCAATAATGGCTCAGAGCTCACGGTCAAAGCTGAGTTTGACAAGGTTATGAACGGTGCGGACCTCGATGCAGAGCTCGACGCTTTGAACGCTGCCGAAGGGGCCGTGAAGGCTGAGGATCACATTGCCTAGATTCGTGCTCCGATCACTAATGACTGATGGCATGACAACACTCAAGTGGAATTAGCTTATGACTGTTGTTTCTTCATTTACGCAATTTTATTTTGATCGACAGCTGTTCTTTCAGTCCTCGGGGTTGACTGCCGTGGTGGACTACTATGGGATGACGGTGCTCCTGCTTGGCTAGATAAGATGATACCCTGAATAGTCAATGCGGTTTTGTTTCCTGATCTAAATGTTATCTTCACATGAGTCCTTAATAACTCGGGTCTTCAAGAGTCGAGATGAAGACAAAGAGTCCTCGATGTTGACACGGATATATTGCTTTGAAAGATACTGTAACTAAATGCACATCGTTCGAAACCATTTTGCACAATGGTCCATAATTCTCTAGCATTGAGTGATATATATCCCGAAGTGCTCCCTGACCTCATGTGTCGATCTTTCGCAGTCCATATAGTAAGAATAACTCCGGCGCCGTACCCCCACTCCACGAAGCAAGTGACAAAGGATTAATTGACAGCGGAAACGAAACGTCCATGCGAACCTTTACTAATGACCTCCACTTTCGATAGCTCAAAGAGCTTCGATAGCTTTGCGGAGTACCTCAAGGCTCAAGTCGGAGACGCTCTCGCTGCTGGGAGTGTCAGCAGCGGACTCGCGAAGAGCCCAGGCGACGTCACTCCACCACCCCAAGCCAATGAACCCGCCGCCCTTCCGGCGCTCAAGGCTTTCCTTCAGACGACTTGTGTGCTCCCACTGCTTGGCAGCCACTTCGGCTCTCTCGATAACCTTGTTCGGGATGCCGCACATGGACGCGCAATGCATACCAAAGCTACCTTCAGCAACGCCGTCCTCCAGCTTGTACAAGAAAGTGATACGTCTTTCCTGATCATCGACATGGATTTTCATGCGTTTGGGTGTGATCTCGGGATGACCATCGAACTCCGCAGCGAGAGAATGATAGTGAGTCGCAAAGAAGCCCATTGCTCCAATGTGAGTGGCGACGTGGTGCAGCACTGCCTGAGCAACAGCGACACCATCATAAGAACTAGTCCCACGGCCAAGCTCATCGAGAATGACAAGCGATCTTGGTGTAGCTTCAGACAATATCTTCTTCGTCTCTGAGAGTTCAACGAAGAATGTGGACTGGGCTGCAAAGATGTTGTCATTTGCACCCAAACGGGACATGATACGATCAACAGGTGTCAACCGAGCGGATTGGCAGGGCAGGTAACAGCCGATTTGTGCCATGATAACAGCGACACATGTCTAGAGCAATAAAAACGGTTAGTCCATCTTTCATAGAGAAAGTTAAGGAATGATTGCCTGCTTACCATACGGAGAACCGTGGATTTTCCGGCGGCGTTAGCTCCAGTGAGAAGATTGATATTCGGCGCTTCGCCTCCCAGACGCACGTCATTGGGAATAAAGTCTTCCACCGACGAGAGAAGGCATGGGTGACGCAGCTCCTCAAATTCAAGCACACTCCGTTCGTCTTCGACGAAGACAGGGCGGCAGCTTGGATGGCCCAGCGACGAAGAGGCTTTGGCCAAACTTATCAGACAATCCAGTTGTGAGATGATTCGGACCGCTGCAAGCCAAGTCGTGTAGTTCTCATCGAATCGTGCGTAGAATCGACCAGCAACTTCCTTGACGATCTGACTGTGTGTTTCCTGCGCCTCCTGCAATTTGCGAATGAGAGACCTCAGTTCGGGAAAGTAATAACGCTTCACCTGTTTCGTGGCCGACATCTGGTCCCAATTTTTAGGGATATTCTTCACCTTGATTGGCACCTCAAGTTGATAAATTTCTTTTCCATTGTCACGATAACAGATGGCTGTGGAGCCCAACTCACGGCGTTGGCGTTTGAGGAGGTTGTCAAGATCCCGGTGCAATTGCTCAATACGCGCTTGGGAGGTGTCGAAGTCTTCCTCAACACCTGGTTTGGGAACCAGGATGCCATTTTCCTTCGCTTTCGTGCGGTCGAAAGCTGTTTTCCAATACTCCAGCAGAGAACTCAAGTCGGGCATCCCGCTAATCAGCTGCCCAATGACTCCTTCTCCCGAAGAGCCACTATCCTTGAGGAGAGTGATTGTGTATTCAATCTGCTCGAATCCTTCCAGCACACGCACAAAATCTTGCGCTTTGCAATTGGCTGCATGGATACGGGAAATAAGTCGCTCGAGATCAGGCATCTTGGTCAGCTGGGAAGAGAACTGGTCTCGAACGCTTGAGTCAGCGTTCAGGGCATCAACGGCGTCCAACCTCGCATTGATCTTCTTTGCATCCATCAATGGATGGCAAACCCATTGCTTGAACATACGCTTGCCGAAAGGGGTAATGCAGCGATTTAAAAGCTGAAAGAGTGTCCCCTCTGAGCCACCATCAAATGAGTTGGCGAATATTTCCATGTTGATCAGGGTTTGACCATCAAGAACCAAGCTGGAGGCCTTCCTGATAGGGTCATACCACGAGAAGTTACCGATCGTGATCAGATCGCGGTCGAGTTTCAGAACCCTGAGATACTGGACCAAGGCTCCGAAAGCAGACATAACCAATTCCTTGCCTCGAGCCTCTCGCAGGGTGTCCGGCCAGGCTTGCAAGTTATCGTCATCTTGAGAGACAAAGTATTCGCTTGCATCGAGCTCTTTCACAGTTATATCTGCCTCCCAAAACTCTTTTCCAGGCTTCAAGTGGTTCCAGATGGTGGTAGGACCAGTGTTGTTTTTCAAAATGCGCAGAGCTTTGTGAGAAATCGTGGACTTCTCCAACAGCAGTTCTTGGGGACGAGTCTGTGCGACGAATGTCTCGAACTTGGTCATATCAACATCATCCACAAATTCCGACAGAGAGAACTGGCCAGTAGCTGTGTCCACAAACGCGAGCCCAAAAGCAGGACAGTTGTCTATAATGGCTTCCTTGATCGCAACGCAATAGGTAGACATATCGTCCTGCAGCATAGAGCCTTCAACTAATGTGCCGGCCGTAAGGACGCAGGATAATTCTCTCCTTATGATCTTGTCTTCTTTCCCGCCAGCCTTCTTTCCGTCTCTCTCGCGCATTTCTTTACCCAGTGCAGATTCAGACTGGTCCACACGGGCAATCTTGAAACCTTTGGCCACGAATTGATTGGCCCAGTGATCTAAGCTCATCTCAGGCACACCGACCATCCGCATGTTAACACGATCTGTGAGCTTTAAATCAAATAATTGGTGACCGATTGTAGCATCGTTCTCATACAGCTCGTAGAACTTGCCCTTCTTGAAAAAGACAACCGTGTCCCAGAATTTTTGCTTGATCTCCCAGTACTGCTTCTCAAAGGGAGAAAACTTTGCCCATGCCAGTGGGGGTATATATATAGTGCGAGGGTCATAGTCGGGGTGATCTGGTGGGTGTCCATCTATGTCCCGAAGGTTTGCGAGCCAAGGATACCGCTCTTCAGGTTCCCTGAGATGCACTTTCTGCTTGGCAGGAGTGGCGGTACCTTTCGGCGTAGCTTGTATTGTCCGGTTCTGGCGGGGTTCCTGATTCTCAGGGTCATAGGCCCACTTCAGAGCTGTGCCTGAGGAGGCATCCGGGACATCCAAGTCGAGGTCTTCTACGGGAGAAGGAGGAGCGGGAAGAGAGGAGGCCTTGCGAGTCGTTGCATTCGACGGTCTCTTACGTTTCTTGGATGGCTTGGCTCCTTCATCGGAGTCGTCCGCAACGATAAAGTCGTCCATCTCTGCTAGTTGGTTAGTCCCAACAGCACAATAACGGCCGCAGAGCGATCCTGTAACTAACCGTCATCTGAATAGCCCACCTCACCACCTTGCTCGAATTCATCTTCGCTCTCTGGAGAAATCTTGCGTCTTTTAGAGATCCGGCTGTTTCGTCTATTGGGCCCGAATATCACATCATCGTCGTCTTCACCCTCAGATTCGGATTCGGCATAACTGATCTGTTTCTTGGCCTATAAGATGCAGTTAGTGACTGGGTCTAGAAGGTATCAATTGCAAATAAAACTGCACAGATAGACTTACCCTACGGGAGGGCGAAGCAGTTTTCTTCTCTACGTCCTGTATTTGTGCAAGCCCAATCAGCAACCTGTCAACCTAGCATACGGTGCGGCGTCCGAAATATCAGCATACCTGAGTGTTATCCTCGTCCTCCTCAGGCACGACCAAGTCACTGCTAGGAACAGGAGTCAGGTTTTGTGTGAACCTGGGTATGCTCTTCTTCTCAATCTTCGATGTCGCTTTGCTGGAAGTCGCCTCGCGCTTCTCAGAGGCCCTCTCTGCGGGAGACGAGGCAGGTTCTGTGTTACGCGCACCAGATGGTGCCGATGGCGAAGATTTTTGGAAGAAACCCAGGATAGACCGCTGGTTCTTCATGTTTTGTGTACTGGAGGTGGATCGTTTCAGCGCTCCGGAGGGAGGTGTCGCCGTGGTGGGAGAGGATGCGGTACCAGCTCCTCTGGCCATTCTGACGGAAACTCAATGGTCGGCTGGTACAATGTGACAATTAAGATGATGTATAAACCATGCCGAAGATGATAGAAAGCAGCTGGATGGAAAGGCAATGCGAATGTTGATAGAGGTCTCAGGACGGAAAAATGGCGGATCGTCCGATAAGGAGGCGTCACGCAGCGCGTCGACGCGTTTAGTGGCCCTATCTAACTCCGTATTCCGTACAGAGCACTCATCATTTCTTGGCTTCCCCAATGGGCTATCCACTCTCGAAACAACACTCCAGCCATTCAGGTCAACTTCCGTAGTACTTGGCGCAGAAAATATTCTGCTGGATATATCTTTGTACGGAGAAACTCGCATATAATGCGACGGAGAAGAGAAAATCCTGAAGCCTATACTTCATTAGGGAAGCTACAATATCCTATACTCTCCCACAGCGGGTTGCGATCTATACATGACAAATTTAGCGGCATTGTCATAGGCATGGATCAAGCATAATAAAGTAGTGTTTTGAGCACAATCGCAGGATCTCCCACTGTTCCTATTCCTCAACCTTCCACAACAGATGACGATGTCTCCGACAGACCTAAGGAGCGCACTCCAAATTCTGGTGACTCCGGCTGGCTGATGCCTAATAGCAAGATCATTTTTGAGCAATCTTTGCTCCTCCGTTGCAATTGATGGTACGAGATTCGAACTTGCAGGTGCTGTTGAACTGTCCGTTGCGGAAGAGGGTCAGCCCATTTCCACTGCAGCCTTCAAAACGGAAAGGGTCGTTGTTGCCGTCAACATAGAAGTTTCCATTATTGTGGAGTATCGTAGTCAGTGAAGAGACGTTACAGTCCGTCAAATCCGCCTTTGCATACAACGTGTCATTGAAGTCTTTTGCCGACATCGAGTTCCTTCAAAGAAATTGTCCAGAAGGTATGGTGAAGCTGCAGGTTTCAAGTCTTGGCTTTCCGTGAGACATGAAAGTCAGCATGTTGCCGAATCACTTATAGTATTCAAATATTTCCCATTGGGGATGCAGTTGGTCGGTATCGAAGAAGCGAAGTGTCTCAAGAGTCTGCCAAGTTCAATAGCTCTCTCTGCTTACGTGCATGATGTGCTCAAAGTACTAGTGGCAACGCAAGTTCGATATCCGAGGAGAATTTGGGATGTAATCTATATCGCTAGTATATTTACAGGTCTGTCTAAAAATACATGCATGAAGTAGACCGCCTCATGTTGACTTCACCTCCGTTGTCTTTTCAGCGGCCGATTCTGATTCCGACTTCTCCAGCTCCCAACCAGGAGCGGTAAGTCCGCGCTCTTTGAACTCTTCATCGCTGACGATCTTTACCATCCGGAACTTCCATTTACCAAGCTTCAAAAGCAAGAGATCCCCGTCGATGATGTACTCCTGCGTCTTTTCCGGAAGCCAAGTCTCAATAGGCGTGAACGACAGGTCATCAGCCATGGGCCCACTGTCCCCTGGGCGACTTCCCACATAGGCGCCCTTATTGGCGACAATACGATGGCCTTCGCTTTTAGAGGAGACTAGTCCTGCATGCCACAGGATCTTGTGAAATGGCTGGTTATAGACCAGGGAGCGGGGAAGAGTGACATGGGGGCTGCCCATGTTGGCGAAATTGGTCTGGGGAGCGTATTTGTTCCCAGACTGAGGATTGGCATAGCTTGCAGAGGGCGAATTTGCATGGCTGCTAGGCGGGCTGGTCACCTTGGGCATAGGACTAGGTTCAGCCGTCGAAGAGCGTGGCCGGAAAAGCTGACGATGTTGTAAAGCGACTGCGTCAGCCTCTTCCTTTCCGTGAATCAGCTCCAAGAATTCGGCAGCCAGTGTATGCTGAGCAATTCGCTTTGAAGGGTCTTTATTCTGTTCTTCCATGATTTCGGCAATCTTAGGCAAAGGTAGAAACGTGAACAGCTTCAGATAGCGCTCGACAACCTCATCTGGTGTTCGAACGAAGAACTACTCATAGTTAGTGATTCCTGCATGTGCCGTCCAGGATTTATATAGGCTCACCTGGTAAAGCTCGAACGTAGAAGTCATGTCCTTATCCAACCAAACAGCATTACCGGCAGACTTTCCAAACTTTTCGCCGTTCGCTGCTGTCAATAGTGGCGTAGTGAACCCAATCGGTTTGTCTAAATCATCTTCCAGAGGATTTCGGTCCTGTTCTATCGCAGTGTTCTTGCTGATCGACTTCACGGCATCCATGCCGAAGAGGATATTTCCATATTGATCGGAACCTCCAACTTGCACCTGGACGCCTTTTCGGAACAGCACCCACCAGTCCCATGCCTGCAGTAGGGGATATGTGAACTCCGCAAAAGACATTCCATCACCTTTGGTCATCCGGTTCTTCACACTTATAATCATCAAAATCAGTAATCAAATGGTCCAACGAATGAAGGATAGCAACTAGACTCACGTTTCTCTACCCAGCATGGGACCAAGCCGCGTATGGGCGCCCAGGTCCCGTAGTACTTCTAAGAAGGATGTGGAATTCCACCATGTGTTGTTGTTGACCAAAGCTCGCCGCCAGATCTTCTCTTTGTGCCATCCGTGTCTCTTGCCATATTGCTCCACAGAGGCCCCCAACTTTTTCAGTTGCATGTGCATGCTCGCCATATTTGCTTTTCGGACCGAAGAATCCATCGCCTCTCGTCCTTTCAACCTCCCAGTGGGATCACCGATTCTAGAAGTAGACCCCCCTAGCTGTTGTGTATCAGCCATGATATCTTACGTCGATTCAAGCGTCAGGGGAGGAAAGACCGACCAGATAGGTGACAGGTAGACCCCAGACATAACCCCAGGCCAGCACCATGAACGGCAGCATATGGCCAACATGTAAGGAGGGAGCTGTTGGGTCTACTCCGACATAGATCCCGACTCTCTTCTCGGAGAAAACCCGGTGTAGTAAGTCGCGCTCTCTGTAGTTTCGAACCGGATTTCCATCAGCTAATACAAGGAAAACATGTCTGCATTCAGGTACGACTCACCCGACGACATCATGGATCAGCCCTCTCTCTTCTAGATGTTCAACGAAGCTTTTCCGCTTCCCAGCCTTGATCTCCGCAGCGAATTGAGCCCACTGCTCCTCCCCAGCCTTCACCTTCTGTATATGTTTCTGGGTAATCCACCTTCTTGACTCCCTCACTGGCGATCGTATCGATGAATTGACAAGAAAGCGGCTTCCTTGAGCATCTAAGGAACATTTCCGCGCAATCTGAGCAGTTTGCATGTAGCTGCGCGCACCGTAGCCCGTCTGCATTGCTGTCTTTAAAGTAACCGGAATGCGCAAGCGTCCTGCGCGAGGCAGAGGCAATAATTGCGGCTTCATTGGGCCAACCTGGAACTGGCACCTCAATTAACCGCTTTCACCTTGCGGTTAATTGGTTTCAATGCGGGTCAGCGAAGCATATATCCCGACCTCACGGAACACGAATTTATCACTATCGGCGTTGATAAGAAGCTGATCAACTGCTCTCTCCAACGGATAAATATTAATGCGGGGCTGTTTCCAAAAAAGGTCAATCTTCGTAAATAACTGCGTTGAGTTTAGAAATCTATGGGAAATATGAATTTTCTCTTTCGCAAGGATGGCAAGTAGGAGATTCAAGAAGACTACGTTTCTATAGGACAAAACAGTAACTGGATGGAAGGTAAATGTGTTGAAAAGATATACTGCTGGAAACGCCTTGAAAGTCAACAGCGCAAAAAAAGAGGGTATGGTGGAAGTAGGTAATCAGTTGCATTCAAATTATTTCAGCTAGTCTAGCATTGCGAGTTCACTCTAATGACCGAAGATTCCTATCATGAATGTGCTACAGCGCCACGAAGGGACCAGCACGTTTCTAGGATCCTAGGCCACATAGAAGCTCCATGGAGGAGCAAACACCACCAAGTTATGTGTTTGGGATCAGAGATGCCTTCATCGCGTCCGTCGAAGTAACAAGGAGATGTGCCGAACGCCTTTATCATTCTCCCTCCATCCCGAGTCAAGCAGCCCTTGAACCCCGAAGGGAGAGCCACAAGGCTCAGAGAGGAGCGATTGATCAAATAGAACACACTAGGCTTTCATCATCTAAGAGGATACGTTAGAAAATCATTCTGTGTGAGTCTGGTAGCGGAATCTTGAGAGCTACAACTCACCTGTACAAAACTTGGAAGGATGAAGAAAAAAGGAAAATAACTAGTGTGGATCCCGGAGGTTTTATATTTTGTAGTGGGCTAGGAGACGCTATTCCCAATCGATGGAGCGGTGCATTTCTGCCGGATAAGCTTGCGATACCTTCAATATGGAGATCAGACCGGATGTCTTCTGATCATGGCTGATTTGACGTCAATTTAAAGCGCTTTGATACCAGCTCTATTGTCCATTGGGGAGACTATTAAAACTGCAAATTTTTATAAACTCTCCATCAAACCCGGCTCGGTATGCTTCTGAGCAATGTGGGACGTTATTTACCTCGTCTCCGCACGAGCTATATTGAAATCTCCAATTACCTCCGCAGTCGGCCATCAGGACAGCGCAATGGACTGAGAACTCTCTCTCCTGTCAGGACCTTTCACAGGAGACATTGCCTGCTCGAACAGCATGACAGTCCTACTTCACCTCGACACTTTTTGGAACAATATAAAAAAGCCGGTATGAACAACCGTCCTGTCGCATTTTACCACAGTTCTCGTTCTACAGAGTTAAATGCTAAATTTTGTCTGATATAGTTGAGTTCCCACCAGCCACGAGCGATTTTGAGACCTTCCTCGCAAATGCATCTGCAGGACAGGAGGTCCAGGTTCATGGATACCTGGGACCCCGCTCCGACCTTTCCAAAAAGCTATCTTTTGCTCGCCTGACCGATCCAACCATGAAACACAGCATTCAGCTTGTCTCGTTTATTAAGAACAGCCCTCTTGAAAAGTTCAGATCCATTAATGCGAATAGTCCAGTGGTTGTACGGGGCATCGTGCAGCCAAAAAAGGGAAAAGGATCAGATACCGAGCA